CTTACGAATTAAAAGTCAAGTAAGCCGGTTTTACTCACAAACTACAGAGGGTCAGCAGTGAACAGAAAACCATTAATAAAATGTGGCTCAGCAAAGTAGAATAAAAAAGCGCATTTTCGATCCCAGACAATACCTGTGTAGTGAAAGTGCAATGTTTATGAGGTCACAGATTTCGCCAATTTTTCTGTGCTCATTCATCTTCAGGGGAAGATGATCTGCAGGTTGGGGAAACAGTCTAAAAGAATACTTCCCAACCAGCGGAATCATAAGGCTTTCGAGAGGTCGGCCTAAAGACGATTTTTGCGCGAGGAAAAAGGACAGATATGGAGCTTGATTCATAAGTTGAGATTCACGCAGATGCGTGCGAAGAACACTCACAAAGGGGTGCTTGGTTTTTGCGGCAATCTTGCGAACGCGGTTGATAAGGCGATTAATATCGGGTTTCTCGAGTTCTGGAAAGCCTGTGCGAGGACCCGTAGCACTTAGAATGCGTTCGGTTCGGCCGACTATACGCTGCCAGTTCATTCCACAAGCGTTCTTCTTTTAAAGCAACCTCGAAGATCTGTGAAGAGCAAAAAAAGGATCGTCGGCGGGGACGCGTGGAAGAAGCAGGTCTTCGAGGTGATGCTCTGACCAGGCGACTCGGTCCTCTGCCAAAGTCTGAGCTTGCGAGCCGACACCTAGCTCGGGCTCCGAAGTGGGCAATAAGTCGGTGTTTATTAGGATATCCTCAAATGGCAGCGCCTGTTGAACCCAGTCAGCGTCCACAACGTCAAGAAAAATGCCGCTTGCTGTGTAGGTGCTGTCCGACATCCACAGGCAACGAAACCGGTAGCAATCGAAGAATCACACTTTCCTAAAACAGAAAGGGAAGGATTAAAAGCATCAAACACAAAGTATGGACACGCAATTTGGCATTCAAGGAAGTAATTTTTCAGCTTGTAAATTCGCTTGCAGCAGAAGTAGCAATGGTTGTAATTGCGGTTCGGAAATTCTAAAAGACTGCGTATGTGTTATCCGTATCGAGGGTTGTATATTGGAGCCAAGCAGATGTTTTCGAGACTGGGAGACAGTGACGGCATGAATTACTGAAAACAGTTGGGGGGAAGGGGAATGGTGGAATAACTTAATTACAAGCAATGTTTACGATTCAGAAGGAACTATTGGAATGGGGTATTAAAGCCCATTGTCGTTTCGAGCACCTACACAGTTCAAAGTCGGGCCCGTGTAGCACCTGGTGGA